ATCAGGATTGAAGTAACAAGAACTCCTTCCATCCGCCATATTGGCGGGCCGCCAAGGTCACTCGAAATCGACCTTCTCGATATTTTCCGAAGTAAAAAGAATTGGAAATTTTTAACATCCATTTCGCTGTTAGGACTCTACGACAAGACTGCAAGGCAAATTTCAGCAAAATCGGCGAGGAACGGTGGCCGCGACCTTTTTATATAGCTCGAAAATAACTGAGTATGATTCTTAAGTTTCGAAGGGGGGCGCTTATTTTAAATTTCGGCCGATAGGAGGGGCGCTTATTCGAGGGAGGGGGGGCGCTAATTCGAGGATTCACGGTACCGAAACTTTCAGTCCAATCCAAGATGGCGGATCAAATAACGTCATTTGACGTAATATGAAGCCATATCCAACAGCTGTGCTTTAATAGAACGTGTGTGCTTTAACAGCTGTGCCTTAACAGAACGAAAACCCAAGGAAGGGGTGCCACCACCCCTCCAGCTCCCCCGCCCCCCTTTTGCCCTTGTAACTTGCTTGTACGTAGGAGAGCTAAGTTGAAAGCACATCCATAAATTTCAGTTGGCAACAAATAACTCATGCAAACAATTGACCACGATCAATCAAAGCACCCACTAGATCAATGGCGTAATGCTGTCACCGGCAGTCAGTCAGCTCTGTCCTTGGCTTTCCCAGGAGGGAGTAAAAATACTCCTAGTCGTTTCATGCTACCGAAACCGGGATAAGCTCCAGCCTGATTGGTCACTTGGCTCGTATGCACACTTTACTTTTTTGAAGGGCTGCCAGAGCTCCGCTATAATAGGCTTTATTGTTACGGTCATCCAACATGGCCGCCAGGGTCTTTGAATCTCTCGGGAATGGTTGCCAACAGCCTGTAAAGCAAAACTGTTTTTAATTTAAAAAAATGTATCAATTTTCCCTCACACACTCTCCATCGAAACTGACAATTTTTCAGGATGTTACTTAAAAAGATTTGTACAGGTTAATAATATAATCTCAAACATTGAATTTTCCTGTTTAAAGGCAAACAATTCCCCGAGCGGAAATTTTACATATCACGCCCTTTATTCAAAAGACAAAGCAATAGAACAATAGCGCTCAAACAGCCGTTGGGTGCTTGGCCACGAATTTTTGAGAAACTTCAAATTACCACGCATAATTTGCAATTTAAAAATTTCAAATTATGCATGCAGTGCAACATTTGTTGTTTGTGTTCCTCTGGCGTACATTTGCCCTCCACGTTCAAATTTTCAGCAGGCTAAAATCTGCCTTGCATCGCCCTTTCCCATACTACAAAACAGTTTAAAGCTTCAGGTTTGGAATTGTTTTTATGTCTGGATTGGTTACAGGATATATATTGAATTCCTGCAACAAGAACTTTTCTCTCTGCCGAGGCATTTGCAGCACGCACGTGCTTCAATGAAACAAAGATGCTACCGTGCATTCTTGAAACCTCCCAAAAGGTACGAACTGTACACGAAAGGTATGAAGTTTAAAGAGTTGACTTGTATTTTATCTTTTTGGGAAAGCGTTGCTCAAAAACTGCCAGAAATTATGGTGAACAATTAGTACCCGACTATTGTTAGATACTTAATCATAACAATTACAATTTCCTCAAATGTGATTGGTGCATAAACTGCTGTATTTTACTCTAATTAATCTGCAAAGTTGTAATCGGACAGTGTAATCGGACAGTTGGCTGTAATCGGACACCTGTAATAACACAATTATCGAACTTTTAAGTTTTCCCATAAATTTACTGCAATTTTTGCTGTGTTTGCCCCAAGCGTCTACTACCGATACATTCGTAATGCATACGGTGGAACATCGTTAAAACGGTCACCAACGGGCCATGAAAATTTGGCCGTATATAATAACGGGGTAGGAAATATGATTGGTCTAGATTGACTATGTCTTAAAAGACACCTCAAAATTGCACTTCCAAACAACTGTTCTTTAATTAGCATCCGGATTAAAGATATAATTTAAAAATAATGAAACTCCGATCCGTATATACAGTATTAACAAAGGAAAGATGAGCATAGCTAGTTTGAGTGGCCATATAAACGGGGTAAGATTATAAAGGATTATAGAGGTTGGGATTTCATAATGTGGCTGTTGGCCGTATTAATTGGTTGGCCGCATTAAAGGGGTTTTCTTATAAGAACATGTATTGGCGTTTGCTGGGACCAAAAATGTGGCAGTAATAGCGAGGTGACCATAACGCAGGCTTTTACTGTAATGATAACAAACAAAAAATTTGTATTAAGAGTAAATTAATAACAATTTCAGGCTACTAAATATGACTTCTTCTGTTCTCCATCGCTCAGAAAACAAAAATGTTTGCATATACATGAGCCAAAAATTATCATTCAAATTACCTAGAAACACAACGTAACAGCAGATATTGATTTCGACATTATATGTTTATAGGAGAAAAGTCTTAGTTCTAAATTCCAGACAAACTTTTACATTTTTATATTTTATTAGCATACAACTTCTTTTCTTTAGGCCACCTTTGCAGGAGCCAAATTATCACAGCTAGTCAATAATATTTCGTTCTTCTGAGCCCGGAAAGACCTGCAACTACCTCAATAAAGAACACGTCAGCCTGCTTCCACTAACATGGCAGTCTTCTATATTTCACTAGCTTTGTGACAGTTGTTTCCATTTCTTGGCGGCATCAAAAGGTCAACGAGGGTGAA